CCTTCGGTAGTGAAGGCCGACACTATAGTGACAGACGTGAAAGTAATACAGAGGGCCATGAAGAAACTGCACCACAACCAGCAATTGCTTATCCGAATCAACCATCAAATCATCCACCTCTAGAACGATCGGTGTCACCGAAGCCACAAACACAGCATGAACCACGGCCAGTGAGCGGTCACCAAGCTAGCCAGACCTATAGACCAACTCCACCTCAGGCTCAGAGCAGAATTCAAAACCAGTCACCTTATCTCACTAATGAGCAAGAGTTGCCGAGACAGGGACCTTCCGTAGCTCCATTCAGAGCTCAAAGTCATCACGTTTCACGTCAAAGCTCATTTGGACCATTATCGCCGTTGAGTCCCCAGCCCAGTCCACATTCTCCATTTTCAAACAGTCCACCGGGCCCTCCTCAATATTTCAACAATCCTGGACCCTCAAATCCGCCTTTCCCAGTTCCTTTCGGTAGACCTAGTGGTCCACCATCATTCCATCCTCGACCTAACAACCCTCCACCTTTTGCCCCTCGACCACATTTTAATGGTCCACCACCTAGAACAAGTTTCCACACAGGGCCTCAGAGACCATTCCATCAACCTCATCCACAACAAAAACCATTCTTTGACGAAGCTAAATATTTACAGGAAAACTATCACACTATAACTACTGATCAAATAGAAACTGCTAAAGATCAGCCGGCACCAAACAGACATACTCAGAATTTCAATTTCGTTCCTCGTCCAAATCCAAGTCCTAGCCCAGCGCCCGCCCAATTTCAGGATCATTCACCCATAATTCCATTGAATCAACAGTTACCACAGCAGAGACCACCACTCCACTTCACCGACAGCGCTCAGAATAAACCAACATTTACTACACCCAATCGGCCTCCGTTTTTCAATTTGAAACCATCACCACCTCAAATAGATAATAACCGCCCACCTTTCTTGCAACATCAATCACAGCAACCATTCAGTTTTCATCAGGGAGCACAGCCACTTTTGCCGCTATCTAGGCCGTCTGTTCAAGTTCAACCAAATTTACATAATCAACACTCCTTCACTAGCTCTATTTCAGTTTCTCCATCACCATCACCGATCCCTCAATCACAATTCCTGCCCCAGCCATCTGCGCCTACTTTGTTCAACTTAAACCCACAACCATCGCAAGCCCCCGCACAGCCACAATATTTCCACCAACCAACATTTACCTCAGAAAGGCCACAATTTCAACAACCTCTTGGTCCATCAGAACGACCTGGCAGCTTCCATGATCAATCTAATATACAGCACCAACAGAACGTTGGGCAGTTTGTACCAAATGGTGGTGAACTAGTAGCGTCTATACCCAAATATGAACAGCACATAACTGTCAATGGACCTACTGCACAGCCAAATTATAGTGGTTTCAGTGAATCCGTCCAAACTTCACCTTCTCCTCGCCCTGAGATCAAATATCATCAATATCAACAACAACAGCAGCAGCAACAACAGCAGCAACAACAGCAGCAACAACAGCAGCAACAACAGCAGCAACAACAACAGCAACAACAGCAGAAACAACGGAAACTAAATCAAGAGATCCAACAACACCAATATCAACAACAGCAGCAGCAAAATCAGTATGTGCAAGAACAACAACAGAAACATCAACAGCAGCAACAACAGATTCAACAGCAGCAATATTATGATGCTGAGCAAGAGCAAGTCAAATTGCAATTAGCTCAAAATGTTCAAAAACAGCAGCAAGAAATACAACGTCTTCAAAATCAATTAATTATTGCTCAACAACAACAAAATCAACAGCAACAACAGAACAAAGAAATAGAACACGAATATAATCAATTGAGAAATTACAACCAACAACAAATTCAAGCTTCCACACCCCGATCTCAATATTCGCAGACATATCAAAGATCAAGACTAGAGCAGCAACAATCATTCACAGCTAGCACTCCTGCTCCTAATTATTATCAATCCACTTCCAGGACAGTAGATATAACACCTACCACTCAGAAATACGTATCCTCTACACTAAACTCTATTAGCTCTACACCTGAAATCAACAAAGAAGAGAAAAAGAGAAAGCCTGCCATTGAACTTCCTGATGAAGTTCCTGATGATCTGCGTCAACAATTGCTATCTTCAGGCATATTGGATAACGCTGACATCAGTGTGTTAGATTATGATAAAGTAGGAGAAACGCCTTTAGAGTCACTACCTCCGGATCAGTTGGCAAACTTTTTCAGTGCAGGTGGAGCTCAACAGATAGCTGCTAGTGAACATAGACCCATTGTTGTAAATCCCAATGGTGATAGTATTCAATCTAGAATAGATGAAGATATAGAAGATGATCAGGAAATTGCAGCATCAGAAAATATAGCAACCTATGTCGCTCCCCCTACGACAAGTAAACAAGCAGTTGAAATGAAAGTGGTTCATTTTGATCCTAAAACAGCTGAAGGCCAGAACATCGCTAAGGAGTATGTGAAAGAGGACGCTACACAAGTAGATCCTGTTGCATTAAATGACAAAAAATATAACAGATATTTACCTTTGAAAGTGAGCGGTAACCAATTTCCTCTTCCAGATATTTTAAAAGGAAGGAAAATTACTTCGGTCGTCGTATTAGCGCCAGTAGAAACTGAAGCAATAAACAATGGAGATCACGTGAGGTTAGAGCGATCCACGAGCAACACATTGAAGGGAATTAAATTTGTAGCCGGAGAGAGCTTACAAGATTTATTGAAAAAGCCGACTAAAGATAACTTCCAAAAATGGCTTAATGTTGAAAAGGGAACATCTACAGACCTTCAGTCAGTCATCCTGCTCGTAACGGGGTAAAGTATCTATGTATTTTCCTGTTTTACTGTAATAGGGATGATGATGGAGTAAAGTAAACGAAATATAGTTTAAAAAAATCTTTTTGATACTCTACCTGATAGACGAAGAAAAAAATTAGTACTCATAATTGGCCATCATCTCTATTATTTTATTTAGTTCATAAGTAACTGCCTGACAATTTTTTTCTATAGTGACGAACCTAATAATTTCTATCAGTCATGACTTTTATTCCTGTAAAAGTTTAAGTGCCTATGTCATTACAAAAATTCTGGTATGCTTGTACCTAGGTGTAGTGAAGCTTATACATTCATGGGGTCGAGTTCCTTTCACACTGGCTTTGGGCCTGTATTAACAAAGCATTCTTAACTCTAAAAGCGAGGACTTAAAATGCTGTTTTCATACCAGCATCCCAAGATCGTATTCAGTTCACTTTTAGAGTTAGGAGTGTTCTATTAATCCAGACCTTATTAATGTTGGCGTTAATACTGAGTCCGGATCGGAAGTATGTGAAACAAAAATTTGTTTGATCAGGGTTTACATGTTTAATACTTTACTTCGTTGTTTCGGATTTCACTGTCGCTTCCTTTTGAGGCAGACCAGTATAGGTACCTAATTCATCCGAATATTGCTTAATAGCACTTTTTTGTCTATTTATATAGTAAGACTAGTTATGATAATAAAATTATGCTATTATTTTCCAAAACATCAATCACAATGGATATTAACGTGTAGCAAGTATCTTCTTAGTCTTAAATATGTCTTATTAATTCCAACGTAAATAGATAATTTTAAGTCTTATTTCACCTCTATTTCTATACCTAAATATGAAAAAGTTTAATAGGTACGAGTAACTAGGTAGGTTATAGTAATTTTCTTTGAGTGAATAAAATTCGGGCTGAACCGTGATTCTTTAGAGCCGTTATTTAAAGTCTGAAATGATATAAATATTCATGCTACACATACAACAGCATTTTTATAATACTTACAATAACATTTCTGTTTATTTCATTTCAGGAGCGACGAACCATCAGAAGAAAGAGAAATCTTCATGTACGACGTAGCATCAGGAAATGTAAGCAAGCTTAGTGGGGAACTGTCCAACGCATTTGTGGAAGCAGCAGAGAACAACTCATTGAGTAAGGACATCGAGAAGTTAGCTATTGAAGGAGAAGGGACTCCAGAGGATTTCGGTAAAGACGAAATTGCAGAAGCATCAGAAAACGTGCCATTATACCTAGATCTATCCGGTCATAATGTAGGACCTAGCAATCAAGTGTCAATATCATCAGGCTATAGCAAAACGAAACTAGGCAGATCGTTAAGAAGACATTGATGAAAAATATGCCGAAAGGGCACATTCCTGTAAATAGGTAGTTTAAGAAATACTAAATTAATATGGCGGAGGTGACGATGTGTATTATAGTCGATTATTAAAGTGATAATCATTTTTGTACAAATAAAGTACCTTTTAAAAAAGTGTCGCATATTATTTTTTACATTGACCCAAACCTCTAAAAATATTGGGTGTTACGTCTGAATTCGTAATGATATAATGCAATCACTAAAGATCTATTTTTAGTTTAGTTCAGCAGAAAAACAAGTGAACCATTTTAGTACCATTTCAATCGTTTTTTAACCACAGAGACAAAAATGTGCATTACCTGTGTTGCCAGTTTAATGCAGTTCTTAAATAGCGATGTACGATGTATTTGATAGGGCAGTTTATCAATGTATAATATTTTTGAAATTTTGGAAATTATCAATAATATGAAAAAATAACCGTCAAATAAAAATAAAACTTAAAAAACCGGTATCGCGGGTACAACACTACATAATAAAAGCTCGGTATCATTATTTGCGAACTTGACATTTGCATGTGTCATTTTTGTCTCTGAGATTAAAAAACAGAGTATAACTGTAACCATATTAAATATATGAAATCGATACACGTTGACGCGTCACAAAAGTCATCACGATACAACTGTAGAGACAAATATATCTCCGGCTTGAAACTCCAACTTAATAAGGAAAATTGACCATTCTTAATTTTTCCAAAAAACTTGCTTGTTATTTAAAAAACCAATTAATTTAATCGTTTGAATCGATTTGTACTGTCAGTTGACTATACCGATTTTTACTGTTTCTACTATTTTTTAACTTGGCAGCACCATCACCAAATGTCAAACATATGGATTATTTATGGTGGAAGCATCTGCTGTGAGGTGAAAATTCGTCGTTTTTATTTTAATGAATTTTGATATTATTTTTTGAGTTATAAACATGATGGAAGGTTCTTTGAGTAAATGGACAAATGTGATGAAGGGTTGGCAATATCGGTGGTTCGTGCTGGACGAGAATGCTGGCTTACTCTCCTACTACACGGTAAGTGACGTTCATATCTTTTGATGCGGCAAAATCAGGGTTATAAACTTTATCATTTACCATAATAACTAATATTACTGAATAAGAGATAACCTTTTGAGATCGTACGAAAAATAGCTATTTTATTTCCCTTAAGTATAACGCTATTCCATTACGACTTCTTAACATTTCAGGGTCAATATGTATTATGTTTGTTTTTAAAAGAGAAAAACTTTGAAGATCTTGTCCTTTTTGGTTTGGTTAGACATTGACCATATCTATCATTAACACTCTTGTACGCATACTTTTTGGATGTGTGATCTTTTAAGTTCTAATAACTTCTTTTGCCATTCTTCACCAAATAAACTGATCATGAAAATAAATTGACCATAAAATAGATATGAAGCACTAAACATTACTTCTGTAATTATTAATTTCTTATTAAACTGGACCCTGCATTGCTATGATTATATGAGAAAATCTAATTGGAAAACTGATGTAGCAGGTCAAAAAACAATTAACTTAAAATTCATCATACACTCATTAATTTTTGACTATGTTTTACTTATTCAGGGTTAATATATTTTGCCATATTCATCATTACTGTCAAAGTGACCTTGAACACTTTGAGCTTAATTACAAAAAAATAGAAAATATTAGTTATTTCAAATTATTTATTACACAAATTTGAACTAAACATCTTAAAACTATGTAAATTTAATACAGTAGGAGTGTTGGCTCTTTGTTCAGATAAGTGACTGAAAACAATTCTTAACAAGTAAAAGCTAATAAGAGAAAGCTGTTTCTGAAAACTGCATTGATTAGTCATTTTTGAGCTGGTATTTAATATTTCTGTAACATTATTGGTACACCTAGTTGCCAACAGAATGAAATGTATTTTAATTTAAACAAAGTAAAGTAGTGTTTACCTAATAGATTTTCAATGCTTCTTGTCCATGAAAATTTCTAATAAGAAAAGTTGTATCAGTATATATTTTTCATTGGAAATTTTAATCATTATTTGACTTTTTTTTTTGATAAACTTTACCATTTTTGTGTGGATTTTCATCCTTTAAATAATTCTTATTAAAAAAATCATAGAACATGTAATAAACAAAAATCACGTTTGGGAAATACATGATTGAAACTCCGTGAGGCGCTGGACAACTCGGTAAGAACACTTGAGATGAGTATATCAACATCACTGTAAACTGAACCTGTAAATAAAGTTTTTTTTAATTAGGTTAAAAAGTTGGAATATTTATTTTCATAAATTAAAAAACCAGAAATAAGCTTAAACTAATTAGGTATGCTGTTTTGTTCATATTAATAGCAGGTGGGGTGGAGTCATACTAATGACAGTCATTAGTATGACTCCACCCCACCTGATGTTAAGTGACGGTGGAGTCCAGAAGTGAAGCAAAACAAAAACTGCTAATAATGAAGTGTGAGTATAAATTTAAAGTAATTTTCTAAATACTTGAATTAAAACACTATTTTCTGGAATAAGTCAAATAACTACAAACTATAAAATTTTCTAAGATTTATATTCAGTTCACTAGTTAGGCTTTTCATTAAATAACAAAAAGCTTGCCTTATTATAAAAAATCTGCTCTTGGTTTAATTTTAAATGTATATTTAATTTATTATTACACTTTAGAATGTTCTATACAATTTTTTTCTTTACATATGCTTAATAACTTAATTAAGAACAATATGCGTAACAGTCAGCCATTTCTCTTACGCTCGTCCTAGGGCTTCCTTTGTATTTATTATGTAGGGTAACAGTGTTATTTTAAGAAGATAATCACTTTACACTTTGATAAATAACTAATAATCATTTAAATTTTCATTATGATCACATTTGTGACATTACATCACAATGAATATGTTTAACTATTACTTTTTACTTGTAACTATTTCAACTTTAAATTTGAGTCTTATGATATTGTAACATACTAAAAACGTCACATGAGTTTTGTATTAAGGCCTCTGTTTAGGTTGTTTCACTCGTTTTCGTTTATTATAGATCGTTTTTGCTAGTCCATGCGTTTTTTTTTATTCTCTTTAGCTTAACAAGGCTTTATCTAGAATCAGTTCTTTACTTGCCTTTTGGAAAGTACAAAAGCAAGAAAATTAACGTCACTTCACGACGTAATTTTTTTCCTACAGGAATTGAATATAGTAATCTGAATTATTTACATGTTAAACTTGTAAGTTTGTCAATCATTTTCTAAATTCAATAACTCTGTTTTATTTATTTATATGACAATATAAATATAAAACAATAGGTCCCAGGTTCGATTTCTAGTAAATGTTAAGTATGATAAATATGAGCATTTGCACCTTAGTCATATATGTATTAAATATATGTATTCTATCCATTACCCTAAGTTCAAGTTTAAGTTCAAATCATTTATTGCACCATGTTGTTACATTGATCTTAGATAGAAATTATAGATACAAACATGACCCTGCTAGGGCATTGCACCCTAGTATCCAATAACACAAGCCTTGCAGTGCTTGCTTACTGTGGGGCTAAGCTAATAGGCATGATTACGGGGTAAAATAAAGGAAATTCTATTTAGTTCGTCAGTTAGATGATCAAAAAATAATGGACACGTATTTTTTCTTTGGGAAATCAACCAAAAAATGACAAAGATAAAGCGCGTCAAAGTTTGGGAGTAGGGGCTCGTGACGTCACTTTTAATGAGAAAATTGTACCTAAACGTAACGTTATGCGACTTTTCAAATCACTATATCTCTGCAACGTTTATATTATGTGAAAAAAGAAAAAATACGTGTCCAATACTTTTTGATAATCTACCTGATAAATAAAAGATAAAGAATAAAAAATTGTCATCATCTCTATTGGTGTGAGTGTGGGAAATATTATAATTATTATAGTGTCGGTGACCAAATCCAAATCGAATGTGCGTTTTATCGAAAACTAACGACTCTTCAATGTACTAACCATTTGCATGACAGTGAGCCATTTCTTATGCTTGCGAAGGCAGGCCTTAGTTCCCTCACTCCCCTCCGCCGAGAGTAAATAGTAGCTATACATTATGACGTGGACCGCGTTGTTTATCATAGGCGAGAAGGACGTGATGCCACCTGTGGAACAATGGTTAACATTAACTTAACACCATAAAACATGTCAATGAACGTTAGTTTCAGCGCCTTTGTAGACGATTAGGCGAGCTAGCTATCTTGGCACTATTGGTCTTTCCACCACTGTAATAAGGGTTGCCACCTTTTTTTGTCCAAATAAAGTACATTGGATATTAAAACGAGAAAAAAAAGAACACTGTGTCCACAAGGGCGGATCCAGCTTTGGAACCCGGGGGGGTCATATAGCCAACTTTGGCGCCAGGGGGGGTCATATAGTCGTGGTATATTAAATATTGAAAGTACATAAATAAAATCCCCCTGGGTTTGGTCCACCTGTACCCAGCCCAGGGGGGTCATGACCCCCATGAACCCCCCCCCCCCCCCCCCTGGATCCGCCCTTGTGTGTCCATAATAAAGTACTTCTTATTTCACTTTATTCGTAAGCTTAATAATATATTTAACGTTGCTTTCTAGCAACTTTTAATAAATAATTTGTTGCTACTAAACATCTGTAGTTCTTTTCCGCAATGGGAAAGGTCATAGTACAAAGCCATACAGCCACTACATTTTTGCAAGAATGAGCTAAGGGCGACATATTATACATAATGTCTGTCTGTTTTACGCAAAAATTCTTCCTATCAATCTGTTTTTGTATATTTTATGCAAAATTAAAACCCGAGAAATCAAACCACATTAAATAAAGTATTTTTGCGTACTTTATTGTAGGCATGAAGTGAAGAGTATAATAACTCGAAATAACGTACAATACTTTATAATAAAGTACGGGTGGCAACCCTAACTATAAGGGACATTATAAGTAACGATAGATGGATAATTTGTGTATCATATCATGTTGTGATGATCGCCCATTATGGTTAACAACTTCACTCGACCACAAAAAGATGATACTATTCCTATAGCTTCTTCCACCGAGTTCGTCCTCGTTAGAGAATCACACAGGAACCTAGCATTTATCTGGCATAATAATTTAAAAATATCCTGTGTCTCAATCCAGGTAATAAACTATGTATACGTATTAGTGATGTAACGAATGTCATTTTTTGAACATTCGCGAATGCGAATGCGGATGCGAATGTCTGGTACCGACATTCGCGAATGCATGTTATGAATTAGTTTTTTTTTTAAATTGGCGCCAATTGTCTATGGCATAGTGGTAGTCTCGTTCGAATTGCCGAGTTGATATGAACTCATCCGACTGAAGTGTCATTCCGCTCGCACCGGTCTTTCCGTAAACAAAACAAGTGAATTTTGAGGTTAGTGATTGTGAGTGGTAATAGTGATTTATTAACATGAGTAAATCGAATTCAAGTGAAACAAGGACTTATTTCACACTTTGCGATGCTGAACGAGCTAAATGCAAACTGTGTAACAATGAATATTCAAGGAAAGGCAGAACTACAACTTCTAATATTCATATTCGCAAAACATTGGCAGAGATTTTGCGAATGCGAATGTGAATGCGAATATTCAAAAATGTGCGAATATTCGCGAATGCGAATATTCGTTACATCACTAATACGTATGTAGTAGGAGTATTTTACATTGCGCAGCCATTGAATCAAGTGCCGCAACACAGTCCGCACTCCTGACGCGCGTTTTTCCAAAACTCACCCCCTGGAGGGGTAAAACAGGGGTTCAAACGTTAAGGCGGACGAAGTCGCGGGTGGCCGCTAGTACGCTATAAAAGGGTGCCCCTGTGCACTGACGAAATATAAGCATCCATTCATCCATCAAGATTAACTGAGCTGTTAAATGAGCTGAGCTACATATAATCGTTGCGATGTTTCCAAAGCATTAAAGTGATGCTCAAAAGAGGAGCTCGATGGCGCAGATGGTTAATCCTTTCGATCTGCCATTGCAGAAGTTAAGCAACTTTCGCAATGGTTGGTCATTAGATGGGTGACCAAAAACTTATTATCTCGAGCACAGAACACAGGAATAGGTAAGAATGGTGATCAAAGAACGTTTGTACGGGTGCCGTTGAATCAAGTGCCGCAACACCGCCCGCGCTCCTGACGCGCATTAGGGGGTTTGCGGTCCTTATGCTAGCCATACACACTGCGAGAAATCGTTACGATCAGACTGTACAGTTCGAACGGAACAGTTTATTGTACGTGACGTACGTATAGGAAACTGTGCAGTTTTATAACATACACACTACGATTTATCGGTACCGTTCGGACTGTACAGTCTAATCGTAACGATTTCTCGTAGTGTTTATGTCTACCATTAGATAGAATACGTGCCTGGTTACCGGTGCAGAAGTATTATCTGGTGTTTACTGGGTAGGATCCTGCTTATTTCACCGGGCTTCTGAACTGAGTAAAATGTACGTGGAAGAACTCTTCAGATACCCTATTCGCTCTATTACCGGTGGTTCAGGGATGCGTAACGCCTTTTCCAGATATCATGAAGGAGTATCTATACCTACACATACCCCCTTATTAATAAACGAAGACTACGCTTGGATTAGTTACTCCATGTTTTGCCTCTGTCTATTGAATGACAAATGGCATTTTAGTGACATGAATAAAACACGGCGTAACTAGTCTAAGGTTATTTCTTGTTTATTAATAAGGGGGATAGTGTTTAGTGTTCGAGCCTTTGATGCTATGCCAACACCTCAAAGACTTTCGCTAGCAATGATGACTCGTGTGATTTCACTATTATTCGCAATCAAGTTGACAATCTTTTTGGTGTGATCGAGGTTTAAACATTATCTAGCCTGCGATGTGACCTGAAGTAATTCAGGACATTTGTCATAACAACGAAATTATATAATGCTAAATCTAAAGAAAAAAAAAACTAGAAAAAATTCCACGCGGACCAGGCAGCAGACGGGACTCGAACCCGCACCCTTCGCAATACGGGCGAATGCACTGACCAATTATGCTACCGCGGCCCTCACAGACCGCGTCGAAATTCTTCTAGCCATTCTTCAGCTGCAAGGCAGCGCTATCTCTTCGCATTATAGGTAACCCACAATGTCAAATGAATACTTTTACAAGTTTTAAACATTTGAAAGAATAAATAGCAATTATAGTTATAATTTTTATTATTAACTGCTTGATGTTTAAATCTAAAGAAAATATAACTAGAAAAAATTCCACGCGGACCAGGCAGCAGACGGGACTCGAACCCGCACCCTTTGCAATCCGGGCGAATGTACTGACCAATTATGCTACCGCGGCCCTCACGGACCGACTCAGTTACATGCTTTAAAATAGTAAAAATTATATAATGCTAATTGTAATCTAATTTATAATATTAATTGTTGTGATATTTTATTATTTCATGCATGCATTTATGATAATTCTATGATATTTATTACTTGTTTATTATGGAAATAAAGAGGCTATATTGTTTATTGCAATCGACAAACTGACGATAATATGTCATCATGCTTGCTTGATTAGCACTCAGTGGTTATGTACCATCTTATGAAAAGTATGCTGAGGACATGCAGTGCCACGCTTCAACATCCAAAGTCACTCCTTATTTAAGTTTAACACTATATGTAACTCTTTTGTTTTGTAACAACCAATGAACTCGAAATTTTGAATAACTATGAGTTTTTTCATTGATATTGTAGAGAAGAACCTAATTAAACCTAACCCAAACTTTGATTAAAATAATGTATATTGTGCGGAAAGCTAATATCTTTATATGCGGTACACCCTACCTAGGTAGGTAGGTGGGGTGTATCGTGTATGTACGACAACCCTGCATCACACATACTTGCAGCCTCTCAGAGTCGATCGTAATTAGTCTAAAATTTTTGAGGTAGATAATATCTTTATATGCGGTACACCCTACCTAGATAGGTAGGTGGGGTGTATCGTGTATGTACGACAACCCTGCATCACACATACTTGCAGCCTCTCACAGTCGATCGTAACTAGTCTAAAATTTTTGAGGTAGATAATATCTTTATATGCGGTACACCCTACCTAGGTAGGTAGGTGGGGTGTATCGTGTCGTGTATGTACGAGAACCCTGCATCACACATACTTGCAGCCTCTCAGAGTCGATCGTAACTAATCTAAAATTTTTGAGGTAGATCACCAGCAGTTAAGTTTGAGCACCACTGATCTAGGGTATTTAATATCGTTGGCGGTCATCTGAACTGTCCATGTAATGAATAATGATTTAGAAACTATTACGCACTTTAGAATGTACGCACGTTATCCCGCGACCATCTGTCGGAACTTGCCTTAATGGTGCTCAACCAAAGGTTCTGTCACCTGATTTTTAATTTTATTATATTTAATAAAATTCATAATTTTATTAGGGCTTATGGCATGGGAATGGCTTATTACTTGCTCTTTCATCGTCTAATTAAATTATACCCACCTTTTTATTACCTATGTGTTTTTGCCCATCATTCATTAAACAAAACACTTTGAACGGGTTAAATACCTACCTAGTATTCGTTAGTACATAAAAGTTAATATTCTGTTTTTGCACGTCGCGTCTCTTATATCACTTATCTAATGCTTATCAATGAAGAAAGATATGCTACTATTTGTATACCGCTTTCGGCGAACAAAAGAAAATTAAGTCGCTTAATCTCCGTCATAAATTAAATCATCTTTTAACTGGCAAATCGCTGTCTAATGAAGTGAAACGCGCTCTTAATAATTCAGTAATTAACGAAACATCGCGATTACCGGGATAATTAATTCTTATTTCAATCTTATTATTAATCAAACACCGACTAAAAGAATAATTAAGTAAAGCTTTAAAACGTTAAAAGCCTATCGATAGAAAAGGTTTCTTCGGAAATATTATTTTGGAGATGCATATCATCTTAAATAGAAAAATCACCCATAGCGCTTAATTTGTAAGAGTATTTGAGGCTTGAAAAGCGCTGTAAATGTCTTTATGTAAATGTATTTACTACCTACTCTACTAAGTACATATGTATAAGCAAATGCGAGATCTTAAGTGCAAGCGTTTGATACCTTCGGTCGCTACCAGCT